CCCCGGGATCTGAACAGTTTTCCTGTGAGGAATCCCTGATGTTGAATTTTGTTTCCCACTGTCCTTTTGTGTTGCAGTGTCATGTGTTCATCTGCACCCACCCTCTCAGGTTGTCCTCTGAGTAATCTGCTAATTTTTAAAAGCATAATGTTGATTGTGTTACGACACAGTTTTTAAAAAATTATAATATATCTACGTTATAACATTGGGACAAAACAGGCAGTGAAGTTTCATGTAGCCTTTTCCATGCTATTACCTGTCCATAAAGTTCCTTTCCTTTCATTTTTTGAAAGAGGTATTGCTTCTTCATCCCCCCCCCCTTCTCTTCCCCTATAGCTACTGGTGTGCTTTATGTTTTTAAAATGTTACGATATTATAGCATTACAGCATATGCAAAAAAGAGAGGCGGTTCCGTCACTGACGAAGTACATGAGGACACGTTTAGCGTGCTTCATAACCATGCTGTTCCCCACAGTACATCCAGCTTTTTTAAAAAAACAACGTTATGTTATAAAGTTACTGCACATACAGGGAAAAAAGGAAGTTCTGTGGGTGACAAAATAAATGACAATGCATTTAGTGTGCTTCATAATTATCAAATTAATACTATTATGAATTGGTGTACCCAGTTTGGTGATCGCCAGCCATTATCTTAGTTGGCGACTATGGAGGATCAGGGGATCTTGGAAATGGTGGCAACCATGGTGTTTCCCACATAGATTCAGCCTTTTAAAAAGCAACGTTATAACATTACTGCTCATACGGAAAAGAAAGAAGAGGTTCCGTCACTGATGAAGTACATGATGACACAGCCACACAGCCCCTTTTTAAAGGAAGTGTGGAATACATGAGGATGGTCGGATCCAAATTCAAGAAAAAATTCCCTGAAATAAATGCCTTTTTGTGGACGGGGTGCCACAAAGTCGGAGCATCAGCTGGGGATTCAACTCGCTGGGAAACAGCGGCAACACTGAGGTGTGGAAAAGGTCTTGCTTAAGCAGAAATATCTGCATACCTACTTATTTTGCTCTTTACAGACTATGAGAGCCAGTTTGATGTAGTGGTTAAGTGTGCGGACTCTAATCTGGGAGAACCGGGTTTGATTCCCCACTTCTCCACTTGCACCTGCTGATGTGAACTTGGGTCAGTCACAAGCTCTGGCACAGCTGTACCTGAAAGAGCAGTTTGTGTCAGAGTTCTCTCAGCCCCACCTACCTCACAGCAGGGGGTCTGTTGTGGGGAGGGGAAGGGAAAGGAGTTTGTAAGCCGCTCTGAGACTCCAAGTGAAGGGTGGGGTATAAATCCAATCTCTTCTTCTCTTCTTCTTCTATGTCTAGGGGTTTAAGTTTGTGAGTAAAAGCATTTCCCAGTGTGTTCATCATAGTCTTCATGTTGCTTAGATAGTGTTGTCTCTAAATTATTAGAGACTTTCGTTACTGTTTTTATAGTTTAAGAGCTTTCAGTCTTAATTTTAATCTATGGTTCATTTTTTCTAATATATCATTTAGGGCAGCTACCATATTTGAGTTATCTTTCAATTTAAAATAAGTGAAAATGGCTATGAATTGAGCAGGTAGCATTAGTGTTCAA